CACCAACAAGATATCTGTCATATAACACTTTACACTCACAGTTCAGAAAATATCATAAAAGAAGGGGCAGAAAGATTATAAGATACAAAGGAGTGAAAAGATGGCCACAAACCACTGTCTTCTGGATACTGTGGGAATGTTGAACCATTAATTCTCATTAAGTATTGTTGCCTACAAAAAGGCAACACCAATCAATTTTTCAATATGGATCAGGGAAGAGTTTATAAGGTTCCACTTTCAGTTGAGGAACTATGGAGCTACAAGCAGTCAATAGATACTGAGTGTTTAACTAGCCCTCTGATAGGCTGCTCATGTCCACAAGGTCAGCACACTCCCATCTTTACATTACCAAGACCAATTGGACTCAGTAGTTTACACACACACACACACACACACACACACATATATATATATATATATATATATATGAAAAAGACATGACTTTGAGGGAGAAATATAGGTAGACAGACCAGGAGTTGAAAGAGAAAGGGGTATATATGTTCAAAATACACTGTAATGTTATGAAATTCTGTAAAGATTAAAGAAATCTTTTTGGTAGGGAGAGTACTCTATTTTTTAACTTTGAAATATCAAAAAGAAAAGTTTGTTTTTAAAACTGTGGGTAGCCTTTGCTTTCTCTCTCTCAAAAGAAAATCAATCCATCTAAAGACAAGTAAAAAATCAAAACAAGCAAACTAAGAATAAAACTATAAAAATGAAAAAAAATGAATGACAAAATACAAAAACAAATTAAAATGAAACAATCAAACACTTGCAAAAAAAGATCAAAAAACATAGAATACACTTTGTGTGGGCCGGCTATTATTGGGCACGGTGCTTGCTCTTAATATGTTGATATACCCAGTGATACTCCATCAGGGAAAGATGATTTCCTATTTGCAAGCAGGTATCAATTGCAAATAGTTTCTTGGGTAGGACTAGGACCCCATGTCTACTTCCACATTCTCATTACTGGGACCCCAACTGGCTTAAACCTGTGCAGGTGTTACATGTGTTGTCCTATTCTCTGTGAATTCATATATACATCAATTCTGTCATGTCTAGCAGACCATGTTTCCCTGGAGTCATCCACAACCTTTGGCTCTCATGTTTCTCCTCTCTTTCATAGATGCTTAGTATGTATCTAATAGTAGTAGGCTTTCTGGTAGAGCCCATGGCTTCTCTAGTCTCAGAATCTTGGTCACTCTGGCACTGTCAGGTGTGGGATCCATCTCATACAGTGGGCCTATAATCCCCCCACCCAAAAAATGTCATTGACTGCTTCCATATTTGAACTACTATTGCACCATCTTTCTTGCAACATACCACTTTTGTACATCTAAGCATTTGTAACTAGGTGATATTCATGATGATTTTTCTCCTCCAGTATTGTCCAAGGTGCCTTCTTGCACCATGACTGCTAATCATATGGGTGAAATTTCTTTTACGTCTGGCACCAGTTATATAATGAGGGATTATATTGCTTTGATCAAACACTGACTAAAAGAAACTCAAAACTCAAGGAGAAAAGGTTTATTTCAGCTTACAAATGGTGATCACAATCCTACATGAAGAGAATGCAGGGAAGGAATTCAAAACAGGAACCTAGATGCAGGAGCCATTGCAGAAGCCATGGAAGGTTGTTGTTACTGCATGGTTCTTTGTGGCTTCTTTAGCTGCTTTCTTATAGCATGCAGGACTAATATCTGAGGGTTGGCATCAACCTCAGTAAAATGATTCCTCCCATATTAATTATAAATCAAGAAAATACACTACAGACTTGCCAATAGGGCAATCTGGTTGAAGCATTTTTCTCAATTGAGGTTCCCTCTTCTAAAAGGACTCTACCATCTGTCAAATTGATATGAAACTAGACAGTACTTGATGTCTTCAACAATCAGGCCTTAGAAATATCCATCAGATGCCAATATTCCCTGAGCTAGGGCTTTAAATTAAAAACACCTCCTCCACCACTGCTGGTTTATTGCTTGGTTTGATCTTATGTAGGTTATGTGGATATTGTCATTGCTACTATGAATTCCTGTGTATTATGGCCCTGTCATGTATGACAAATGATATTTTGCTGCTGAAATCTGCTACCTTTTCTTATAGTCTTTTTATCCTTTCTTCAATGATTACTAAGCCTTGTAGCAAGTGGTATTATACAATGTTTTATTTATAGTTAGGTACTTTAGTCCTTTTTATTGATTTTATTTTATTTTTATTTTTTTGCCTTGTCTTAGGTTTTTATTGCTGGAAAGAGATACCATGAACACAGAAACACTCTTAGAAGGAAATATTTAATTGGGGTGGCTCACTTACAGTTTCAGAGGTTCAGTTCATTATCACCATGATTGGGAACATCTTAACATGCAAGCAGATGTGTTGCTGAAGAAGTAGCTGAGAGTCCTACATATTGCATGTAACAGGAAGTCAACTGACATACTGGGCCATGGTGGTGTCCTGTATATGAAACTTCAAAACTCACCCCCACTGTGACAGATTTCCTCCAACAAGGCCATACCCACACCTACTCCAACAAAGCCATACATCTTTTTGTTTTGTTTTGTTTTGTTTTTTGGTTTTTGGTTTTTGTTTTTTTTGAGACAAGGTTTCTCTGTGTAGTTTTGGTGCCTGTCCTGGATCTCACTCTATAGACCAGGCTGGCCTTGAACTCACAGAGATCTGCCTCCTAAGTGCTTAGATTAAAGGCATGCACCATCACTGCCCAACTAAGCCACACCTCTTAATAATACCACTTGCTCTGAGATTATGGGTGCCAATCCCCTTCAAACTACCACATTTTACTCCCTGGCTCCCATAAGCTTGTTAGAATATCATAATTCTAAATGTACTTAGTGCAACTTCAAAGTATCCGTAGTCTACCACAGTCTAAACAGTGCTTAAAAGTCCAAAGTTCAAAGTCTTTTCTGAGATTCACGCAATCTCTTAATTGTAATCACCTGTAAAATCAAAATTAAAAAAAACCCCAAACATTTCCAAAATATAATGGCACAAGATATACATTAACATTCCAAAATGCAGGGAAGGAAACATAGTGAGGAAATACTGGACCAAAGAAATACCAAAAACAACTGGCCAAATTCCAGACTATGCATTTCCATGTGTGATGTCAACACACTCTTTTTTTTTCTTATTAAGAATTTTTTTTTTCATTTTATATACCAACCACAGATTCCCCTCTCATCTGTCCTCCTGCTTTCCCCAGCCTTTTCCCTGAACTCCCCCAAACTGTCCCCTTCTCAAAAAAGTAAGGCCTCCCACAAGCAGTCATCAAAGCCTGATACATTCAGTTGATGCAGGTCCAAGACCTTCCCCTCTGCATGAAGGCTGTGCAAGGTGTCTCATCATAGGTAAGGGCCTCTAAAAACCCAGCTCATGCACCAGGGATAGATCCTAATCCCACTGCCAGGGGCCCCTTAAACACATCAAGCTATACAACTGTCTCACATATGCAGAGGGCCTAGTCCAGTCCTATACTCTGATACTCTGTCATTGTAGAGCCTTTGTCCAGTAACTGATGGAAGCAGATGTGGAGCTCCAGAGCCAAGCACCAGGCCAAGCTCCAGGAGTCAAGTTGAAGAGATGGAAGAAGGATTCTATGAGCTAGGGGCATCAAGATCATAATGGGAAAATCTACAGAGACAAACAAACCAAACTAGTGGAAACTCATGAACTTTAGACTAACAGCTGTGGAGTCGAAGCACTCTTAAGATCTCCAGCTGTATTCAGCTTCATAATATTCAAAACTTATTTCTCTTGGGCTTGTTCCATTCCCTGTTAGCAGCTCTCCTTAGCAGGTATCTCAGGACTCTAGCATCTCTAACATCTTGGAGTCTTGAAAGCAACAGTTTTCAACTTCATAACTTCACACAATGGCCTTTCTGGAAGGCTTTCATTCAGGAACATCCCTGACACATGCCTACCCTCAGTGGCTTTCTTTAGTCATGGAGGCAAATTCTATAATCTGTTTCTTCTATTCTTAACTCTAAAGCCAGAACCACTAAGCCAAACTTGTCAAGTTCTGCTGATAATTGGGATTAAAACATGGTCCTTTCACTCAATTACATCTTCACCAGCTTTATGTCTTTCGTTGCCTATACCTTGCTGTCCTGAAATTTGCTCTGTAAACAAAGCTGACCTCAGACTCAGAGATCTGCCAGCCTCTGCCTTCCCAGGGCTGGGATTAAGGGTGTCCCACAACAGCCAGCTCTAAGCTTGTCTTTAGTTTCTTTCAGTAAATAGAAAGTTTTCTGGGTAGAATCTTGTCCTGGGGTCACCACTCCCTTCATTCCATTTCTTAATCCATTTAACTCATTCAACTCGGGATTTAGCTCCATTCCACTTTCTGGTACTCTTTTTCTCCTCCAAATTTATTTTTCATAATTTACCCTACTCAGCTTGTTCCTTTTCATTATAAAATTTCATAACAGTTAACAGTAATATTCAAAAGACAGAGTCTATACTGGTCTGTTTTGAAATTTCTTTTGCCAATGGAATTAATCCAAAACTCTTCACTTTAGCCTCAGGTGGCAAATGGCAGCCACTTTCTTCACCAAAATATCACAAGATTCATCTCTACGCAACATACTAGAGTTCTTCTCCTCTGAAACATATTGAGTGACCCCCCTACAGTTCAAATAACTCTTAGTACCTCCGTCTTCCATGCTTCTACTAGTATGGCACAATAAGCATTGCTTAAAGTATTCCACTGAGTTCCAAACCCAAAGGCCAAATTTCTCCAAATGGACACATGATCAGGCCTGTCACAATAATACTCCAGTCCCTGGTACCAACTTCTGTGTTAGGGTTTTTGTGTCCATGAAAATACACCATGACCATGGCAACTCTTTTCAGGAAAATATTTAACTGAACTGGCTCACTTACAGTTTCAGAGGTTCAGTCCATTATTATCATAGTGGGGAGCATGGCAGCATGTAGGCAGATGTGGTGCTGGAGGAATAGCTGGAAAGTCTTACATCTTGCAGGCAACAGGAAGTACACTGACACACTGGATGGTATTCCCAAAGCCCATCCCCTATAGTGACACACTTCATCCAACAAGTTCACAACTCCTAATATTATCACTCCCTATAAGATTATGGGTGCCAATTACAAGCTACTACAGACCCCTTTATTAATTACTATATCCTAAAAAACCAAGCTTTTCTGATTGAAAAATGATATGTACTAATCTGTGAATATATAAAGAAAAGTACTGAGGGGGAAGTTTGATACTATGTCCATTTAGAAGGATAATTATTATTAATAGATTCTCTACTAGAGCCTATTATCTACCCAGACATTTGACTTTGGTCCATTTAATAATACCAGACATGAGTTCCATCCTGTGTAGTAGACTATAAACACAATCAGAAAATATTTGGTTATTCCCATAACATTTGTGCGAATATGGCATGTGAGTATGTATTGTTGCACCTGTCCTTCTTGTAGCTAGCAGATGTCACAGGTGAGTAAGACATTAAATACTTTTGATGTCGTCCATAAGAACTTTTAGGCCTATGCAGACCTAGCTAGTAGGGATGAAGCATTCAAGTCACAGCACCAGTATTTCTACACATTCTATGACTCAAGTATGTGGTGTCTTCAGCATACTCCAAAAGAGTAAAAAGACAAAGGAAATGTTGATGCTGAGGCTCAAGGCTGTTTTGTTTGTAGAAACTTTACTGAGTTAGGAGTTTGGTGAACGAAAAGTACAGTATATCATTAAAGGAATAATTCTATCTATCTGTTGATGCTTAAGATGAACTTACCTTCTTAAAGATGGTACTACCTTCCTGAGTGCTAGACCATGTCCAGCTGAAATGTTTAGTCTCCACCCAGGCCAGAGAATCTGTTCTCTTGATCAAAAGTTAATACTCATGCTGTGGTTGGCCTTTTGGAGATACAGCTAAATTTGAGTCAACAAAGACTGTGTAATCACCTCTCACATACATACTTTATGAGTAATTCCAATAAACTCATAGGTTTCCCAAGTCGGACTTGTAGGATTATTAATGAATCTGTCCTTAGTGACCTAGTTTGTTTGAATAAATATGTTTTCATGTCTTCCCATAAAATGTCACCAACAAAGGGGGGTGGTGAAAAAGAAACTTCAATTCTTTGCATGCATTAGGAAAGCAGGAGGAAGGACAACATAGAAACCAGTAAAAATAAGACAAAGAATGACAGAGGAAGGGGATGGATTGAAAGAAAATAAGATTCATTTGTGTAAAAATGTCATAAAGAAATCAATTATTTTCTATTTAATGTTTAGAAATATACTTTTTTTCAAAAATAATTTCCTCAAACTTACTCTTATAGAGTCATGCCATACATAATACAAATCAAGTGTTTTTGAGAAATAACTCTCTCACTGTTGAAGCAAAACAAAGGTAATAATAAAGAAAATTACTGTCACATTTTTACAAAATGCTAAAGAAAGAATAATCACTTTCATTTACCAAAAATGGCAGGAAGGAAACCAAACATATAATAGTATAAATTGGGTGAAAATATTCAATGACATGAATCTGTTACCCACAAAAATTATATAGAATTGTAGAAGAGCACACTTATTATGAAGAGTTCTGAGATGATGATTCTTAATAATATCAATCAGCATGCATTTTCAAAATACCAATCTGAGAGCAAGTAAAATCATAAGTTTTATAAAGGGCTGGAGCTATTTCAATAGACACAAATTTGGTCATGAAAATTTAAATAGGATATTGTTTCAATGGAAAACTGATTTCTAAAGAAACAGTAATAAGTACCCTCATAATATTACCAGTAGATAACACCATCCCTCGTATAACCTTTCCAGAGTGTGAATATGTTCATTGATTTCATGAGATGCCTTGTAAACATAAAGAGCTACAGTTACAGGCTAATCTATTTGTCCAGCATGTAAAGCTATGGATTTCAAGTCTATTTAAATGTTTTTCTTCTTTATGTTTATGAATATTTTATTATTCCTTAAGTTTGACATTAGAAAGTTATTCATTCTTTTGGCCAAACTGATATTTAACTATAAAAACATATTATCTTTGAAAATACTATCAAAACTTTACTCACAATTTCATTTGTATATATATTAAATTGGTTATATTTGCCACACTCCTTTATTATCTTTTATCATCCTTCCATGTGTTTTTACTTGCTATATTATTATGTTGGAAACATTGTTCTGAAATCAACTACTATTGTTTTGAAGAGTACAGGATAAGACCACCTTAAGGTTGATAATACATTTATCAAGTACTTTGCCTTCTGCTCTAAATTACTTTAAAAGAATAAACTAATAAACATTACCATCTTATATACCAATCATTTCTACATAAATTTAAAACTAGTTTCTCTTCTTCCTATTAAGGAATTTGATGATGTATATTTGCTAACAGTGAATGTTTAATAAGAAATTAGATTCACAATGACTGACTTCAAATCCTGCTTTAGCTCTTCAGAAAACAATGTTTTACACATAATAATTTCAAATGTTTCATTTTCATATATTTGATTTTCATCTTCAGAAAAGCAAACCTGAAGTGTCATATTATGGATATAAGATAATGAAATAATGACTTTAAAATATGTAAACCATAAAACACATCTGTCCAACAATAAGTAGGTGGCAACTATTACAAAAGAGAGTAGCTACCTAGGTAATCTATGAGGGATCTCCTTGTTCTGTTGTTACTACAAGAGAGTACCAGAGGCTCCATAATTTATTCTTTATAAAAGGGAATTTATCCATATTTTCTGTGAGCTGGAGATTCTGATTTCAAAGTATTGATAGTGGACAATGTCCTTCATTCAATCTATTTCACTCTAAGATAAAAATTGAATGTAAAAGATCATGAAGAGGGAGACAGTATGCACTTGAGGATACTTCTACAGCATACCTACTCCAGATAATGAACCACTCTTGGGCATATATCCAAGGCATGCTTAGTCATACCACAAGGACACTTACTCAACTATGTTTTCAGTAACATTATTCATAGTAGCCAGAACCTGGACACAACTAGATGCCCCTCAACCTAAGAATGGATAAAGAACATGAGGTACATGTACACAGTGGAGTACTACTCAGCCATAAAAAGCAGTGACATCATGAAATTTGCAGGCAAATGGATGGAACTAGAAAATATCATTCTGAGTGAGGTGACTCAGACTCAGAAAGACAAACACAATATGTACTCACTCATAAGTGGATACTAGATGTAAAACAAAGGATAACCAGACTACAACTCACAGCTCCAGAGAAGCTAGGAAACAAGGAGGACCCTCAGAGGGACACAGGGATCACCCTGGGAAGGGGAAATAGATGAGATCTCCATGACCAAACTTGAGGTGAGGGGGACAATAGAGGGTAGGGGATGGGGGATGAGAACATAGGGAATGGGATAGTTGAGCAATGGTCGAACAGGGATGGAGAGGGAGAGCAATGAAAGAGATACTCTGATAGAGGGAGACATCATGGGGATAGGAAGAAACCTGGTGCTAGGAAAATCCAGGAATCCACAAGGATGGCACCAACTTAAACTACTAGGAATAGTGGAGAGGGTGCCTGAGCTGGCTTACTCAGTACTCAGATCAGTGAATACTGTCATCATAGAGCCTTCATCTAGTATCTGATGGGTAGAGAAGGCTGGGGGGAGTACAAGGATGGAGGAGAGGGGGATGTGGATCTGTGGCTGGTATGTAAAATGAATAAAACAATTCTAAAATTTAAAAAAAAATGTACAAAGGAACAAACAACAACAACAAACACTCCACCCATAAGGATACAGCTTTGGGAGGTAAGTACGTTTCCAACCTGAAATTTGGAGAACACTTTCAAATCACAGCATCAAAGCAGATTAAAATCTAGATTTGCCTGATTCTAAACATTATTGTTTCTTCATTATATAATATTATCTTCTGGAAATAAATATATCATCGATAAAATAGTCCTTTGATGCAGGTGATATTAAATTTGAAAATAGAACTTAACTAGGCCACGGAATGAAACAGTCATCTTAGTGATGGCATTTGTGAACCAAAGGACTCATCTCATTGTTTTCTTTGCAGCTCAGTCAGGTGGATTTGCAAGAGAAAAGAAATGCTGATGAGACACTGTGCTGACCCACTTTGTCTTCCTGCAGATGGTCCCAGCTGGAGTAATGTGTACTTATTGTTCAAACAAGAACATTTTTTTTAACTTTTCATTACATGTCTCCCAGGAAATAAAAATATAAATGTTGATATGTTATCTGCAGTGGGGGAGAAATAGGCCTGATATTCATAGGAGCCAAATCCCATATGAAATCATTCTCATATTATAACAGAAGCAATGGTTTATAACTGGAAAAATACAAAAACATGAGTCTGTTATTGTTTTATATTTTAATCTCACTACAAACACATAATTTTGAAATTTACCTTAAAAATAAACAAAAAAAGAAATACTCTTTCGAATCTATTCCTATAAACACACAGTTCCAAGGAATGTCTTAAAGTGATAAGGAATGAAAGAATGGCAGGTACAGACCAAGGGAATTCTTTATCTCCCTGATGTTGCTAATATGCTGACATATTATCTGATTTCCTGATATTGGAGATTATGTGCAGCTAAGAAATAAAAGCAAGCAGAAGCAGCAAGAAGAGTGCATACCCACCACCATGTGCTTTGGAGGAAGAACCTGTGTGATCCAGCAGTACCTCTGTATGTACTCTAGAGAATATGGATCAGCAACAGAAAATGTTTAGGACCATATCATGGAGCATGGTATTTTTTTCTATCGTAACAGAAAACATGGCCCAGTAACTTATTTCCTTTTCTTAGGCTCACAGCACACTGTGATATCAGTGAAATGGTCTTGAAGATCTTTGAGAAAGTGATGTCTTTTTGTTAAACAGTTGGGTTCCATTTTCCAGGATAGACTGCAGATAAAGAAGAGAGAGAGGGGGAGAGAAAGAAACATAGCCTCAGACACTTGTGAAAATGATAGTCTTACATGCAGTGAGGCTCAGAGGCAAATGGCAAGGCCT